TTTGAAAATATTTATTTGGATAGGGAAATTGAATCCGTTAGCACTCCCAGAAAGTTCTTAAGCATATAAGGAAGATACAAAATCTTTTATTTTTATTTTATTTGTAAGATATATATTACGAGATGAAGTAAAGCGATTGAGGTTGTTTAGGGAATACCATAACCATTGTGTTTGTTAAATTTAAATTAGTTTTAAAAACTGTATTAAGACACATATAAATAAATATTATATCTCAAATTAAAAAAATAATATAAATATATATCAAAATAAGCTTTAAAAATAACTTTAAATAGTTATTAATTATTAATAATTTATTTATTTACTTAAAAAACAAACAGCAAAGTAGTTAACAGAGGAAGTTGATGTTAGCTTCTACGTTTACTGTTAACGCCAACGCGAAAGCTTACGTTACGTCTTAGAGGCGCTACGTTGAAAATTTGAAACGAAAAGCGAGCGTTAGCGACTTTGCACCGCAGTTTCTGTTCGACAGCCCTCGAGTGCGGTTCTAGCTCTTTCTCTTAAAAAAAAAACATAGCTCACGGGTGCCAATCGGCATAAGTAAATCAGCAAAGTGTAATTTGTTTTCGGAAATCTCTCATAGATTTCAAACTCGAGTCAGAGACCGACGCTCTACACTCGAAAGCAGCTGTCACTTGAACCCAATCAACGAACGAATCAACGAAATAATAAATCACCCACGAAATCAACTACAATAACAACGAAAATAGAAATCTCTTCCAGTGAACAGATGTTTTGAAAACCCCCCGGAAAATCGCGACTAATCCTGACAAGGACTCTAAGCATTTGAAATTATTGTCATCGCGATAAAGTGAAGTTTTTTACTGTGCAAAAGAAAGTTACGGATATCAAAGCATCGAGCGGAAGCAGGAGGAGATTCTCCCCAATCAAAGACTAGCCTGCGGTAAGGATAAAACTGGAGTAGGCGTTAACCAAGTCTGAGGTCCTACTGAACAGTCAGTGGATTGCGTGCTGACCCGACCCAAAAGTTCATTGACTGTCTGACTATTGGCATTTCCTGGTGGCATAGGGCTAGAAGAAAAAAACTCCACCAGTCAGCTGTTCCGCCCCCTAAAGTGTTCCGCAGTGCTCCTCCCATTGTTTAGTCAATGACACTCTCGTATTGATGTCACTTGTTGGCATAGATGTAACCCTTCCGCAGGTTCGACGGAGTTTGATACCTTTATGTCTGAGCTAACCGCCCTCGAGAGCCCATGACATCAGCTCTAATAACCGGTCGACCCGACTTAGCTCATTTTTCAAAGTCACTGATTATGGCAGGCACAACACAAAAAAGCGTTAACCACACAAAAAATAGCAAAATAAAGAATGGGAAAAGGTTAAACAGGAAAATAATCTCACAAAAAGAAGAGAGGGGAAATGCAGTAATCGCTAAATAAATATTTATTAAATGATCCAACAGGTATTTATGTGTTTCAATATGCAAATTGTGTCAGCGGCAGAGATCTCAGTTACCAGAAGACGGTGTAGAGACGGTTGAAGCGGAAGAGAATGTCCCACTAAATCGTCGTCTTAGTCTCAGTAATCATTACAAGCCATTTGGAAATTTTTATTAGTGCCTCGAGAATTGAGATCCAGTTGTTCTTCGGAGAAGGTTTGCCAATTTTTCCCGCCTCATTTCCCAGCTTTCTCCGGGTTTTAAGAGCCAGAACACGTTCGCTGCAGAGCCCAGAGAATGTTGAGCAACTTAATTAGATTTGGAGATCGCAAACTAGTTCACACAGCTGACGTCAGTCATTTATCAGAGCCGAGAGTTCAGTTCGGTTTGGTAAATGTTTTGGCTTTGATTCTCATGTTTTTGTTTTTCTCTGCTTCTTGGCCTTTTGCCGGCTGGCTCACTTGTTGTCTGTTGGCTGTTTTTGGGGAAAGAATTGCTCAACTTGTTCGCTGTTAATTAATCTTATACACACCGCCACTGTCTAAGGCGAAAAAGTCAATAGTTAATAGAGACAGCACACGAATTATGGCTATATAAACGCGGAGTCATAGAGTTGGGGCTCTGCGTGGGTCGATCCGCCGTCTGGAAACCCAATTCCGAACTGGCTTTTTCGGACCACTAAATGTGGGCTAAAGGAAACGGCGGCCGCCGTATTTGGGCGTAAAAGCCTCCCAGATGGACGGCTGGAAATTGTCTAAATTTTGGGAATGAGCTCATATTTAATTCGCCATTTGGAGAGCGTGAAATGAAGTCGAAAGAAAATAAAAACGTTTTCAGTGAGTGATTGTTGATCGTGTCGGATAGTGATACCTAACTTATCAGATTTGAGGGTATATCAATGAGGTTATTCAGTTAAATGATATTTCAACTTTTTGGAAACTTATATAAACTCGAAAGGGAATAAGAAATACTTAAATCCCTTCTTGCTTTCACCAAATAAATATATAATATCCTTAATAACATTTTCAACAGGGTATTCCTTCTCTTGTATTCCCTGAAGCTAGCGTGTTTATTTTTATATTTTTAAAGTTGATATCACAAATTGAAGCTGACGTGTGCTAAATTTGTTGTTGTCGTCACGGGTCCACAGTCGGGTCAATTGTGTGAATATCAATTTAAATCAAACAAAAATAAAGCAGCAGCCAACAAATCACTGAAGGTCACAAAGATAATGCTGAAAAATTGAAAAAGTCTCTCCCAATCAGTATCTCTGTAACTAATCATGGCAGTCAAGGTTTGTTTCTAAAAAGTGCAAATAAAAATTGTTTATTTAGATAGAGAGATAGAGAGATTGAAAGTCAAGTGAGTGGGCGTTGATTATTTGCTCTATAGCCGGTTTTCACGCTGACCCCCCTGTGCATAGATTATCTGATGCTCGATATAATTTGATTAATGAAATCTGATCGCCACATGCAAATTCATTGCATGAGCCGACGCTCTATAAACTTGATTAAAAGCGACCTCTTGGTCGGGTTCCCCAAACTTTTTTCAATTTCAAATACACTTAGGAAAAAAGCAAGCTGGTCTTAAAAACATAAGAATAACAAAAGAAGTTTATAGAAGTATGTAGAAATATATCTTATCTGTTAAATAAAATGATAAAAGTAAATGATTTTCCTTTAATTTACAAAATTTTACTAATTTTTAAAGTATCCTATAAGGCTACGTCGATCTCTTAATTTAATTAATTCATTCAGATTTGTGTTCTGGCTGCTTATTTTAATTAATATTTATTAAACTGAATTTAAATCACAAATTGTTTTTGGCTGCTAATTTAGAAATGTTTTCCAGAATATTGATCTTGATTTCGTTGCCATTTTATTTACTTAACTCGATTTTCTTCAATGCAAATTTCTGGGGGTAGACAAGAGCCTCATAGACTTTGTCTGACAGATGTCTAACTTCTGTTGGCTAAGCTGCCGGCTGTGATTCATCTGCTAGATTTTCTGTTTTCTTAGCTGATCTTGGCCTCGAACAGCAATTGAACATGATGTTTGGTGTGTGGGTTGACCAAGCTCATGATGGTGATGTAAGAGTTGCCTTATAAGACCTGCTGATGGCTGCTGCCTTGCAAACAGAATAATGTTTTTCTTTTTTTTTGTTGAATTGCATGCGAGGTCAGGAGTCGAAAGTGGCAAGTAACAAGTGCGGCTTTGGCAGGAGAACGACGGCTTTATTGGCCCTGTTAACAGCCAGGGCACGCCCCCTAACATAGCTGTAATTATTTACACAGCCAGGCGAATTTTCACGGCCAAAAGAAGTGGCACGCTTCGCTTTTCTTTCAGGTTCGGCTGCGAGTTTGAGTTTGTTTTTGTTTCGGTTTTAGTTTTAGCTTTGCCTTCTTTGTCCGTCATGCAATTGTCGGCCATAAGTCATTAAAAGTAATCGTTTTGTTGGCTTACATGCCCCACAAAATGGGCAACATTAGCACTTAGCATACTTCGTTACGTTTCGATTCGGGGCGCAACCTTGTTGACCAGGCCCCGTTCTTTTTGGTTGTTATCACGGAACCCCTAAATCTCAGGGCCCGTCAAATCCAAATTCAAATCCAGCCCCTATATCGATTACACTCCCAGATGTTTGGTAACTGACGTTGGTAGACGGGAACTCCTGATACCAGCCTGGTACCGTCTGTTTTCCACACAGTTTTCCGCCAGCCTGTCGATGGGCAACACTTCGGTTCCCGTGTGCTGAGCTGTGAAAAGAAGGTCATCATCCAGGGCAGCCGGTTTGGGGAATAAAAATGTTGTTGAGGGGGGTTCTCATTAAAATGTTTATTATGTGCAACTCTTTACTAGCTGGAAACTTTTTTACTATTTCTTTTGTTACGTCTTGAGAGTTAGTTTGTCTGTAATAAACTTGTCTACTATAAAAATTCATGACTTTAGATTTCTCCTTTCCTGGGGATATATTCTTTGGGATACTTTTATTTTTATATATTTAACAACTACATTCATTTGTTTTAACAACTAGTGATAACTATTGAAATGTTTTATGCTGATTTTTACTTATAAGATAAAAGATCTAGGTCGTCTTCATTGGAAACATGTATATGAAGTCCACTATATAAAGGTTTTTTTCGTATTTAGTTTTATCAGAACATGATTATATTATAACAACCTAAGGATCCATTCATTGCATATTTATGAGCACTCAAATCCCTTCCAAACTCTGCCCCTGACAACCAAGATTGACGAGCCTACCGCAAAGTTATCGCCATTGTTTGTCTTTCACGCGGTGCAGCGAATTCGCGGCTAGAAAAAGAAACAACTTGCAACAAATAGTGAGCAACAGCCACTGCAGAGAAAGAAAAAGAGTGACAGCCGCCACACGACACGCCCCCATCCACTCACCTGCCCCTGATTTCCCTTTATGGGCATACTATATACCCACACGCCTGGCCATTAGCCACCCCACGGAATTGGCCCAGAAAATTCGAAACAACACCCAGAGCCCAGACGATTGATTTTTGTGTCATCGACTGGCAGGTTGGAGTAGGGCGGAATTTGGATTATTAGGTTACCCAAATTTAGGGGTCGAACTATAGATTTCAGTTCTGAGCCCATATCACCCTCTCACACGCTTAAATTTCATTCGATTTTCTGTTCATAGGGCAAACATTTTTCCGTTATTGATATTTTCTTAAGTCAAGGCAGCAAGATGAAGGTGGTTTGATGCAAATAAGATATAAATGATTTCATTTTGTTTTCCATCAGGAAAGGAATAAGGATCAGGGACCCTGCGCCCGAGTGCGTAAGATTCGTCCTCTAAACATGGGCGGCAACGTGGAGCAGCGTCCTTGGACTCCAACGGTTAGGATTGGTAGGATCGCAGCCGAGACAACCAATCCAGGTCCAGCCACCGTCACGCTTCCGACATTGATCGGTAAGTCCAAGCGATTGCAATAACTAGTTAGGTAGATAAACGATGATTAAATCATCGATAAATCCCTTTTAGGTAGCAAAGTTCCGGATTCAAAGAAGAAGGCTGCCCCCTCGTACTCCTTTGGGCACAAGTTGGGCGGAAAATACGCCACATCCGGACCTGGCCCAGCGCAATACAATGTTACAGGTTTGCGGGCGAAGGGACGCGACTATCCCAGAGCTGCCACTCTGCAGAGTCGTCCCAAGGAACTGACACGATTCTCGAATCCGGGACCCGGCGAATACGACGTGGCTCCGGCTGCCAAAGCGGTTATCGATGCCACGCCCAAGTACACTTTTGGCCAACGGCCGGCGGCTTTGAAGACGTTCCAGATTCCAGGTGAGTCTCAGGCTTCTTCCTCTGGTGTTTGAATGGTCTTTTGGACTTGGATTTTGGAGTTGGATTTGAATTTGAATTTGGCGTTGAATTCGGTGTGTGTTTCGGGCTGCTGTTGTTGTTCTTGCATGCGCGGACTAAGGAAATCATCAATCAATCATGGAGCCTCATTGTATATAGAAGCGAACTCATTAACCAATCCGAACCCATGCCAGTTGTATCTTCCTGCAAGCAGCGCGTAAGTTGCTAACGCCCTTCTCCCCTTCTCCTAGTTTCTTTCTCTATCTCAGTAGTTAGTGTAGATGTAGCCCACTTTCCTTAGCTTTCTCTATCATATCTCCTCCTGTATCTTTGGATATCCTTTTGAAGGGATCGTAGTTAGTTACACACTGTAATGGGCATAAATGTTTAATCTTGATTTACGAATATTTTCTTTTGGAAATCTAAAACATTGTGAGGATCTTGCTGATAAAATAATCAATAAATAATATTAAACAAGATCGTTGCCTTTGATAACCAAAGATAATTCCCAAGCTATTTTTGGGTTTGTGTCCAATTCGATTAAATTTATTAGATCTCTTTTAATTTCCTTCTCTAAACTTTCTTTAGTTTCCTAATATAGAATCAAGCCCACGTAGGAGTAATTGGCAATGTCTTTATTGGGCCGCCCACTTTGTTTTAGATTGCCGACATCTTGGCTTGAAATGAATCATTTTTTATTTTTATTTATTTATTAAGAACAGACCAAGTTAGGTCTTAACGGAATGGGGAAACAAATGTCTTTATTTCCCATGCATATTTTTTGGTAATACTTCTACTTGCAATCTGATTTAATATTTCCTCTATTTTTAGCCACTTTCCGGTATAAAGTGTTATTTGTATATGCGTTAGTAATTAGTTAATGTTTCAGTGTGTGTATTCGTGTTTTTGTTTTGCCTGATTTGATTTTAATTTGAAACGTTTTTCTCTTTCAATGAATGATTGTCGTGGCATAATCGAAACTCAGGTCCCAACCATTACCAAGTGGTGCCACTTGATGTCGTCAAGCGGCGTGCCCCACGCTACTCCTTTCGCATTAAGGTTAACGTGTACTTAGTTAACAATCCAGGTAACCCATCTAACCAACTGCCTGTCTGTTGCCCACTTTGTTACCTTACTTTTGGTGTTGGTCTAGCTCCGCTCTCTCTAATGTCTGCCCCCAATTCAAAGCCACCTCATCACTAATTCCCGAACTAATCACTCTTTCTATATACATATTATACTTACTATACTTACACACCCTTAGTCGTAGCCCACCTAGTGTAGACCTATAGTTTTTTTGATTCGAGTAGACTAAAACAATGGCCGTACCAATTTTTATGTTTTATTAACACTAACAGCTCCGAATAGCTATTGCCCTGAAAAGGTCACGCAATCAAAAAAGAATGCGCCACGCTACACTTTCGGTAGACGAACTAAAATCGAACACGATCAGGGCACACCAGGTAATATAATATAACCCAACATCCTCCAGTAGCTGTATCTCTGTATCTCTGTTTGCTACTACCCCCAATCAACCGAGGCACCACTTGCTCAAGCGAACCCAATTGGACAGTATCTAAATAGCGCTTTTTGTTTTTCATTTCCCACATTTCCTGCCAACATCAATCTGATATCTGTCCCGCCCGCAGCTCCTGGCGCCTATTGCCCCGAAAAGGTGAAGCTCAACAAGACGCCGGAGTTCAGTTTCGGCATCAAGCATCATGAACAAAGGCCAGATTATACTCCAGGTTTGTCTATAATAGACTATAAAGAATGAATCACGTTTAAATGCAGTATCATGCTTTCACAACTTTCGCACTTTCATCAGCGCCGGGCACTTACAAGCCAGAGCAGGTTGTCCAAGAACACATACCAGCCTTCAGCTTCGGCTTGAAAACCAAACACATCCAGGTCAGCGACACTCCAGGTAAGGCTTGCATCTCCACTGAGAGTAGTCATTTGGCGTTAAGAACACACTTTTGTTACCACCATGTGCAGCACCCGGTGCCTACAGCCCCGAAAAGTCTCGACTACACTCCACACCTGCTTACTCAATCACCGGAAAGGCCTCGCAAGACGTTGTCGATTGTACACCTGGTGAGTTATGAAGGGAATTTTGTATAGATCCATTAGTTAATTAAGCGACCATCCCACACCACCCTCAACTTTCACACCTTGCCCACTCTATTGCAGCGCCCGGAGCATACGAACCCGAGAAGTGTGTGCTAAGCAGGACACCTGCCTTCAGCTTTGGCCACCGCGTGGAGCTTGCCAAGTCCAGTGACACGCCCGCGCCAGGAACCTATAATCCCGAGAAGGTGCGGATGGACCACACCCCCGCCTTCACCCTCTCTGGACGACCCGAAACAAAGTCCGTCAGCGAGACTCCGGCGCCCGGTTCGTATGCCCCGGAAAAGTATCGGAACGATAGAACGCCGGCCTTCACCTTCGGCGGTAAGCACGAGCAGCGGCTCGAGAGCTTCACTCCGGCACCGGGCGACTATTGTCCCGAAAAAGTCCGGCACGATCACAATCCCGCTTTCTCATTCGCCGGTCGCCATGATTTGCACAAGACAAGCGACACACCAGCACCCGGAGCCTATGAAACGGAAAAAGTCCGTCAGGATCACAATCCCGCCTTCTCCTTTGCCGGGCGACACGATCTGCACAAGCCAAGTGAAACGCCCGCTCCGGGCGCCTACTCTCCGGAGAAGGTCCGACAGGATCACAACCCTGCCTTCTCGATGGCCGGGAAGTATAGTCAGAAGATATCCAGCGATAGTCCGGCTCCTGGTGACTACTGTCCCGAAAAGGTTCGCTTGGATCATACTCCCGCTTATAGTTTTGGCATAAAGAACGATCCTAAAGTAGAAAACAATACTCCGGCCCCAGGAGATTACCACCCCGAAAAAGTAAGGCAAGACCACAATCCGGCGTTTTCATTCGCTGGTCGTCACGACCTTCAAAAACCAGACAACACCCCCGCCCCCGGTGCCTACTTCCCGGAGAAAACAAGGCAAGATCACAATCCAGCTTTTTCAATGGCTGGAAAGTACGATCAGAAGATTTGCAATGACACTCCTGCCCCTGGTGACTATCACCCCGAGAAAGTCAGACAAGATCATAACCCTGCATATTCCTTTGCTGGTCGCCATGACCTACACAAGCCCAGTGAGACCCCTGCCCCGGGAGCTTACTCTCCGGAGAAAGTAAGACTAGATCATAATCCAGCTTTCTCAATGGCTGGCAAGTACGATCAGAAGATCTCCAATGGCACACCTGCCCCTGGAGACTACTGCCCGGAAAAGGTTAGATTAGATCATACGCCTGCTTACAGTTTCGGAGGAAAGAATGATCCTAAAATTGAGAATAATACCCCTGCGCCAGGTGATTACCATCCGGAGAAGGTGAGGCAGGACCACAATCCTGCCTTCTCCTTTGCTGGTCGGTATAACCTTCAAAAGCCAAGTGATACTCCTGCCCCAGGAGCCTATTTCCCCGAGAAAGTTCGCCAGGACCATAATCCAGCATTCTCTATGGCAGGCAAGCACATCGAAAAGCTTACAAATGGTACTCCAGCTCCTGGCGACTACAGTCCCGAGAAGGTTCGCTTAGATCACACTCCAGCTTACACTTTTGGTGGAAAAAATGATCCCAAAATCGAAAACAACACACCTGCTCCAGGTGATTATCATCCGGAGAAAGTTAGACAAGACCACAACCCTGCCTTTTCTTTTGCCGGGCGGCATGACCTTCATAAGCCTAGTGATACCCCTGCCCCAGGTGCTTATTCCCCCGAGAAGACCCGTCAGGACCATAACCCCGCATTCTCAATGGCTGGAAAATACATTGAGAAGATAACCAATGGTACGCCTGCTCCTGGTGACTACTGCCCAGAGAAGGTTCGCTTAGATCGCACTCCAGCTTACACTTTCGGTGGCAAAAACGATCCAAAAGTAGAGAACAACACGCCTGCTCCAGGAGATTATCATCCAGAAAAGGTTAGACAGGACCACAATCCCGCCTTCTCATTTGCAGGACGTCACGATCTCCACAAACCCAGTGACACCCCTGCACCAGGAGCCTATTCACCTGAGAAAGTTCGCCAGGATCACAACCCAGCCTTCTCTATGGCTGGAAAACATAGCCAAAAGATCTCGAGCGACACCCCAGCTCCTGGGGACTACTGCCCCGAAAAGGTCAGGTTGGACCACACTCCCGCTTACTCATTTGGAGTGAAGAATGATCCTAAAATAGAAAACAACACCCCTGCTCCAGGAGATTATCATCCGGAGAAGGTGAGGCAGGACCACAATCCTGCCTTCTCCTTTGCCGGCCGTCATGATCTTCAAAAGCCTAGTGATACTCCCGCCCCAGGAGCTTATTGCCCCGAGAAAGTACGCCAGGATCACAATCCAGCATTCTCAATGGCAGGCAAACATATCGAAAAGCTTACAAATGGCACTCCGGCACCTGGAGATTACAGTCCCGAAAAGGTTAGATTAAACCACACCCCTGCTTATAGTTTCGGAGGAAAGAATGACCCTAAAATAGAGAACAACACCCCTGCTCCAGGAGATTATCATCCAGAAAAGGTTAGGCAAGATCATAACCCAGCCTTCTCCTTTGCCGGCCGTCATGATCTTCACAAAGCCAAGTGATACTCCCTGCCCTGGTACCTACTGTCCAGAAAAAGTCAGACAGGATCATAATCCTGCCTTCTCTATGGCTGGCAAGCATGATCCTAAAGTTTCCAATGACACTCCTGCCCCTGGCGACTACAGTCCCGAGAAGGTCCGTCTGGATCATACACCTTCCTATACTTTTGCTGGCAAAAATGATCCCAAAATCGAAAACAACACCCCTGCTCCAGGTGATTACCATCCGGAGAAAGTTAGACAAGACCACAACCCTGCCTTTTCCTTTGCCGGGCGACATGATCTTTATAAGCCTAGTGATACCCCTGCTCCAGGAGCCTTACTCCCCGAGAAGACCCGTCAGGACCATAACCCCGCCTTCTCAATGGCTGAAAAACACATTGAGAAGATAACCAATGGTACGCCTGCTCCTGGTGACTACTGCCCCGAGAAGGCTCGCTTAGATCACTCTCCAGCCTATAGCTTTGGTAGTAAGAATGATCCGAAGGTGGAGAACAATACACCTGCACCTGGAGATTACCACCCTGAAAACGTTAGGCAAGATCATGTTCCAGCGTTCTCCTTTGCCGGCCGTCATGATCTCCACAAACCTAGTGAGACGCCCGCTCCAGGAGCCTATTTCCCTGAGAAGGTGAGACAAGATCACAATCCAGCCTTTACAATGGCGGGTAAGCATGATCCCAAGATTTCCAATGACACTCCGGCACCTGGGGACTATCACCCCGAGAAAGTTAGACAAGATCACAATCCCGCCTTCTCCTTCACTGGTCGCCACGACCTGGTAAGGCTTAGTGAAACACCCGCGCCTGGAGACTACTTCCCGGAGAAGGTTAGGCAGGACTTCAATCCGGCGTTCACTTTCGCTGGCAAGCACAATCCAAGATCCTTGGGTGAATCCCCGGCACCTGGAGACTATAGCCCCGAGAAGGCGCAACTGGACCGAGCACCCGCTTTCAGCTTTGGTGGCAAACACGACCCCAAGGTGGAACATCATCATCCCGCGCCATGCGACTACGCCCCCGAGAAAGTTCGCCTCGACCATACACCCGCCTACACAATTGCAGGTCGTCCAGCCGCCGATCCCGTGAACCAGACGCCGGCTCCGTGCGATTACCATCCGGAACAGTGCCAGGTGGACAGCACACCTGCGTTCACCTTTGGCATGCGACTGGGAAGGGAGCTAATCTCGGATACACCAGGCAAGTTAGGGGTAGAAAATTAGAAGAGATACTTTTTTGTCTCCTCACATATCGATCCACCATAACGAGCATCAGTACCATTGCAGCACCCTCCGCCTATGAGCCGGAAAAGCACTCTCTGCACTCCACTCCCGCCTACAGCTTTGGCACCAAGTCGGACATCCGTGTGACAACCGATGCCCCAGGTAAATAGTGGCTTCCACAAAGAATATCTATTAGTGTTGCATGTTGCTGTTCTGTACTGCATGTTTCCCGCTTTCTTTGTTTGTTTTCCCTGTCCCCACATTTAGCCCCCGGTCACTACCATCCCGAGCAGTGTAAGCTGGACAGCTCGCCAGCGTATAGTTTTGGTCTGAAGACAGTGCCCACTGCTTCGCTTCCAGGTAGGTGACACCCTCTTCCGCTTTTATGGTGCCGGATTCTGCCCAGTTCGTCCGGATGCTTACGATCTGTTTTTTTTTTTGTGTCCTGTTTTCCTATGTTCCATGTTTGTTCGCACACATTCCTTGGTGTTCTGGCCATGCTCTCATCCGTTTCGAATCTCTGTAAATATACTCACAAATCACTAGAACCCAGGGGCGTGTACATCGAAGATCGCATTGTCCAAAGGCGCGAACGCCGCCTGGCCAGTCCTGGTAAGAATCTGCAAGTTCATCCATTCATGTCATTGCTATCATCTTTTTAAAGTCGTTTCAAATGCTGCAATCAGTTTAGATATAGTTTATTATGTTGATATATACAAAATAAAATATATATAAATACGAGTGCAGATACAGTTGTTATCTATTAAAGTTAAAAAGTTTTTAAATATGATAATTTCATGCTAGGCTGCGTAGTTAATTATTATTTTGAAAGGCATCCGTCATTGGCGGCATACTCTCTGTAGGCTTTATAAGCCAGACGGTATAAGCCTCGATGATCAAGGCCACTATTTACCCACAACTTGCGTTCAATCACCAAGGACAATGTCTTGTGCTTACGAGGTCCCAGACTTGAGTTGCTGAAAACATCATAACCAAAATCTTTTAACGTGATAAGAAATCATCTTTTTAGGGTATATTCCAAATGTCCAAAAGTAAACAGTTGCTACTGCTCGTTAAAGAAGTTTAAAGATAATTGCAACTTCTTCATGACAATATCAGGGTCTAATCATTTTGGCTGGGCAGCAGCACCAGTAATTAACTCAGCTGCGTAGAGAATTGAAACGATTTGCTTCTTATGTAAAATATTTAAAATATATGGTATATAGACACACGCCATTGCATCTTCTCATTTATTTCTTAGTTTGTCAATTTTTATTTCCTTTATACTTACGAAAACTTCCGCACAGTACGCAACAATGCCGAATGCACCACCACCACTACCACCAACAACACAAACAACGCTGGTAGCAACAGCAGCACCACCACTACAACCACCACCACCACAAAGACCTTCATCAATGGGGTGGAGCAGCCTCAGTTGCAGAAAAAGGAAACTACTAAGCAGGTGAATGGCACACACAAAGAGCTTAAGTCAGCACCACCAGCAGCAATGGCAACCACTCGAAAATGGTCAGCACCACCACCACCCTGCAGCAGGTTGCCCACGGACAGAAGGAGAATGGCAACCTTAAAGTGGTGGCCAGCGGTAAGTCGGATGCTAATGCTACCAAGGCAGCGGCCGTAAGTCACCAGACTGTGGTGCGGTCGGATGGCGCCATTGTCACCAGTGGCCAATCTTCAAGGATGCAGACGGTTAAGTACGCTGTGGAGGCGAGCAGCGTGCAGGAGAAGATTATCAGGTAACCAGAGTGACTTTAGACAGTGAATGCTCCTAACAGTGAAATAAAACGCTTACTTTTTAACGTTTGATATGAAATAAACAAATATTACTCATCCGCAACGTTGACCTCATCTCATTCCAAGGCAACTAATCTCTAAATAAAAAAGTAATTATAAACAGAGTGTCAAACGAAACTTTGAACTATAGCAGAAAACGCGAAATGTTAGTTACATCAGAAAGTATTTATAAGGGAAATACCAGTCGTATGAGTAATATTCTACATTTTTTACCATTTCGAGCGTTGACTGTTTTGAGAGCTCTTACTTCTTTGGTGTTTCCGTTTCCGTTTCCGTCTCGTGTTTTTTTTTTTGCAGGCACGTCATGTCAAGATCACCCTATCAACCAACCCGAAACTAACCCGAACCATTCAAACACCAGCCCAAGAGACTAGCTATTGAATTAACCCCCAACTAACTCTTAATTTAAACCATCAAATTACACTGATTTTTCCAATCATTGACAGCTCCTAACGTCTACAAAATACCCACCGTCATGGGCAGCAGCAAGGAGGGCAAGATTCGCTCGGCTCCGGCTTATACAATTACGGGTCGCGAGAAGCCTCCGTTGATTCCAGTGATGATCTTCCCCGGACCCGGATACTACGATGGCGAGTACACAGCGGTCAAACCGAAGCCACCGGTGTATTCGATGCGCGGCAAGTACAAGATGGGCAGCGAGGACTCAAAGCCCGGACCCGGAGCCCACTGTCCGGAGAAGGTAAGATGGGGGAAATACTTTTCAGGGATTAGGTTCCTGCTAAATAGTTTTAAGTATAAAATTCCTATATGAGAAAGTATCTTTATGACTATGGATTTGACTACCAAATGATTCACCCACAGTACTGGGAGAAACGTTCACCTCCCGCCATATCCTTTGGCATCCTTCACTCGCCCTATATCAAGAAACCCGTGGCGGTAACAGTACCAGAAAAATGCCTTCGCTTTTTGTTGGAGAGTCGGGCGGACAAGCCGTACGACAATATCTGATACTAGCAAAATAATGCAATTAAATTCATTTAATCAACGCAGTACTTAAAGGTTTCTCTTATCATTTAATCTTTATCAATAGATAAACCTCTCCCACGTGCCTGCCTACAGCTTTCGGTATCAAGCACTCGCAGTATCTGGGCCGTTTGAACGAGAAAAACTCCGAGTTTGACTATAGCTTCTCCGGAATCTGCTGAAGGTGGATCGCTTCTACCCAAATCCTCACTCTGCCCAAGACGGTCTTCGATGAACAGCTTCCTTACCATAACTACACTACCTTCGCTACTCGTATCGGACTAACCTTAAGTTTTAAATGTTTCTGAAACCTATTTGTAAGCCGAAAGTTTTGTGAAATGTTACAATTGTATACACTGATATATAAAAAGATATTACTAATGCAGATTACACGCTTATTTGGCTTTGAAATGTATGAGAAACTCTGTCTCAAAGAAAAAGAAAATTGTAATTTTCATACTGGTAATTGTTAATTTTCTGCCATTTTGTTTTTAACTTACTTTCAATCCAACTGATCATCTGTAATGAAGCTATTGCTTTTGTTGACAATATTTTCCGTCAGTTGGCTTCACTTAGAGGCTAGAAAGCGCATGAGTAAGAGTAGCCTTGATCCTTCTGGAGCAGCTCACCAATTCACTCGATTTTTGATCTTCCAGCGAGAACCACTAGCTGCTTGATCCATCACATGTACCAACACGAACGACATTGTAGGGGTCCACGACGCATTTTTTATGTCTTCCATAGAGTGATATTTGACTGCATTAAGGTATCCATACCCCGCATCAGCCCAACGTGACCAATGTCCATCTAGCTTTCGGCAATTCCAGGTGACCACCAAGTGCCGACAGATTTACAGAAGGAACGAGTTCAAAACATTACGTTCATGCCAAGATTACTGCTCGTACCACATGAAAGTGCCCAAGCCAGCGGAATCAACTGCTTCTGGAGATGGATCAACTATTGCAGCAGGGGGCGATGTATCGGCGCCAACTACAGGTGCCCCACCACCTGCAGAGTAAAGCTGAGAGTAAAAATACAAAAGCAAATATGAATTCTTTGTATCAAATTAGAGTCCAAAAACATTACTTTTTTCACGAAAAATTTAAATATCGATTTACTGAACTTTAAAAACGAAAAAGAGTAAAACTTTTAAATTGAAAATTTAGCAATAAATAGCATTAAATTGTTCGGTATTTGTTGTATATTTATTTTCTGCGTGCACCTCATTACCAGTTTTTATTGCATACGTATTTACATTTACATGATTTGCAAGACTCAAAATAGAAACATAAGACCTCCGATCGATGTTCACCCTTAGTTCTTGGTAAGTTCGATTTCGGCATGCAAGCAGGATTTGCCCTGAAAACAAAAACAAGGCCTTTAAAGAGAATATGTTTAGGATTAAACAGAATCACTTACGGTGTCATGTTTGATCTCCGCATCGATGATCAGATGACCGCGAGCCATGCCGAGCATGGCTTTGTATTTGCTTAGATCGACGGTGTGCTCGTTGGCGCACACCTTTTCCTCGCCCACAGGGCAGGTGGAGGGAGCTCCGAATAGCTTCAGCATGTCCTTGCCCTCCGACGAGGCCTGATCGATGGCGGCGCACAGGTCGATCTTGCCCTCCTTCATCACGATGCCATCCTTTTGGACCTTGAACTTGGCCACGGCGGTTCCAAAGGGCTTATTACTAATGCAACCCGAGGGAACCAGCTCGCACTTTTTGTTCAACTTCAGGTTGAAATCACTGCCCACCGTCATTATGGCATCATCGCCAGCACAGTTCTCCATCTTCACCAGCTTGGCCTTGTAGCCATTCTGAAAAGGATATCCCCAGGGGGTTAGTTTAAGGCCAATTGATATCCTGAAACACTTACGCAAGCCAAGGCAGCCTCGAAGGCACTGCAACTGAGCAGAAAAAAGCAGATGTATCGCAGCATTCTGTACCCTCGAAGTTTTGGATGAATTTTGGAACTCCTGGACTATCCAGCCCCTATTTATATGGAACTCTTGCTAGCCCAGTTTTCCAGTAAACCACAATTATTTGCGCATTAAGCGGTATTTGACTGCTGCGATCAGTGATCGTTCGGCTCAATTGATTGCTGAACCACCACTGGGCAGACGGTCATCCATTAGCCCGGTCTAAATGTCAGAATTACGAATTATTATGGCCAGCCATTTTTAATTACCTGCGTGACTTGGTATTGTTTCTATTTAGCGTGTCACTATAGTTTGATCTTTTGATCTCCCCGAAATTTGTTTGCACCCGAAACTATTTATATATATTTCAAGCCAGTCACTAAGAGTTAAAATCAACTCTCCCTAATTGATAAATGGCCGTAACTCTTGTTAGCCATCAACTGCATGAGCTCGGTGCGATGAAATTGCTTTAATAGGAAATGGATTCCATAGCCTTTGTTTACAATTTATTGGCTTGAAATAATTGCTTAAAATGTAGGATTACGAAAGCTCAAAAGATCAAATTTAGCAATCGCTTTCGCTTTGGATTAACATTGTTCTTTAAAATAAAATGTAAAATAAAACTCCTTTAATAATTGTATGCATTTATTATTGAATTTTATTTATTCCCCTTTATGAGGGATATAAGATAAATGCTACTTTATTGACCTGGCTTTACAAAGTGGCCCTGAAAGTAAACGGCATTCTGATCGCGAATGACGTAAGCAAACGGATGATCGGCATTAAAATCTAAACGAGGCGGGGGTGTGCATCTTATACATCTTAACCCTATAGATACAGCTACGGATTATAAAAAAAATTGTATATTATATTATGTAAATATGTATTAATACCACAAATTACCTGTTATAGCTGCTGCCTCAGCACCCTCTTCATTTACCTCTATAAAGGCCTTTTGAAGAATTTTGCTAATATAGCCTTCCTTTGATGTTATAAGACCTTTTAAGTCAGCACCGTGTGTGAAGGCTTGTCGTATGCCCAACTATAATTATAAATGTTATGATTTAGGATATTGACTAGGATAATCACCAAATACTCACTGTCTGAAGAACTTTCGTTAGAGACGTCGAAAATTCGATTTTAAACTTGGGAAGCTTTAAATTCACATCAAGTTCCCGCAGAGGCTGGGAGAATCCTGGGATCTTTTTCTCCAATTCTTGTAGGCCATCAACTTTCTCCGGCAAAAAGATGACCATGGAAAGACTTGAATTCCTGTACGGAAGTTCAATCACTTTGGCATCTAGTTCTGGTACATATGCCGCCTTAAATGTGCCCGATAATGACATCATTTGGACAGGAACTCGTTCTTGGCTGGCAGTTTTAAAATCGACATTCTTGGTATTTTTGGGATTGAATTCGTATTGCCATTGACCTTTGAAGTAAATGGCATTAAGAAGTACAGCTATTAGCGTCTGATCGGTCATGTCATTCTTTGTAACTATGTCTTGGATTCTGCCGCGCGTCTGATCATTCACCCACTTATTGATAATCGAAGTGGCACGATCTGCATCTTTTAGGCTAATAGCCTCCGCTTCGGCTTTAAAGGAATCTTTAACCACTTGGTTATATTCCGGATTCAGCTTGTATTCGTCATTAACGTATATGCGGTTTGCCAGATCAAGGATGGCTACCTTTTCCCGACCTTTGAGATTTGTAAGAAACTCCTTGTATTTGGCAGCCACTTCCTGTTTGTTCTCTGACAGTTTTAAAACTTTCCTCATTTCCTGGGCTGTGTTTCCCCCAGCTGCCATGTAGACCATGGCCAAGCTTATTTCGACGGATAAGGGCGATGAAATCAAATTCTTGTCTGCATTTTCTTTTGCCAAGAGTTGGTAAAGATCATCAGTGAATTGGCCAGCAACTGACGTGGCCAAAAAAACCAGACCTGAAAGGAGAGAACTTACTGTATTTTATATTTTAATAAGTTTCTTTACTTACACAAATACTTCATCTTTGTTGGGAACTAAAAAGTGTTCTAAGAGTGGTGTTTATATATACTCTTGGTTCTAATCTAATTAGATTCACCATTCAATATCTTAATTTAAACGGTTCTGTTGGATTTCTTAATTTATTTAACATTTATATTATAAAAGAAATAAAGAAAAACTTCCCTGTTGCTTTGTTCCGTTAATTATTTATCATTCAATTTATTATATAAGTATTTTGAAAAAAGTTTTGATAACTCAAAGTAATCCGAATATTAAGAATTAAGATAAAAACTAAATCTCATATTTGAGTGTCACTACTATCCGTTACTCTGTTAACGAAATTCGATAAAATTCAGCTAACAGAAATTGATGCGTTGTACATTTTTTTTTACTAACGCCATCTGTGGCTCGTTTTTTAAAAGGCTTGTTCAATAACAGACTTCACAGAGATGTGCAAGCATCTGAAAATGTGCATCCTTAATCATAACATTCTAGCTAATATTGTACCCGAGCTCTTAGCGCTCATATGAACTGCAAGACATGTTTATATCAACTCATTTATTGATCCTTAACAAGAATGTGCATACTTTATTGGGTCGATGGTTAAAACCTTATTAACGAATATATTTTACCCTGTTACTCGACAAGTAGCGGGTTAAAGATAACTGGTCGAGATTTTTTGTCAGCACTATTGACATGTTATTCACTTTATCTGGCTACCTTAGTACCCTTTTCCCCTGATCTGGCAGCGCCATTTGGTAGCGTGACCCCGTTAAATTTTTAGCTCGTTAGTTCGCGTTAACTTTTTGAGCTGTTCAGACGTGCTAACGGAATAAAATATCGCGCGCTTTTCACTCGCTCAGTGGCAAACTGTTCAAACTTTGCCGACAACGCAGTTTATTTGCTGTTTTTGAGCAGAGCTACCGATATATAAGTCCCCCACGCAAGAAGTGCTAACCAAAAATCCACAACGTAAGCGGTTATTTAGGAGGGTTTTAAAAAAAAATAAATAAATAAATATATAATATATAATAACGTATGATATCTAACCGAAACGAAGTCGTGCCGTATATAAGTGATGCATCAAAGGTGCTAAGCAAATGAATCCGCATTCGAAAGTTTAGATATCGATGAAGAACCACACCGCGGCATAAGTAAATAACAAATACAGATACGTGTTACAAATACAAATACAACAACAACAGGTGGTTGACAAAAGTTCTCAGTAACATTGAATTTGTAAGCCTTAAAATCGAATTCTGGGCTAGTGTCAATGCAATTGAAACATATATAGATAACCAAAAAAAAAGTCACTGTGCATATGTATAGTATCAGCTATATATATGTATTGATTGTTTGTGCGCATCTATTATCAGTGGCCTCTTTGGGAGAGTGTGTGTGTGTGTCTCGTATTATTCATTGATAAGTGTATGAAAAGTGCGTATGTCTATGTGGAATACGTCAACGGCATTCCAACTAAACCGAAACCACCGAAGCCAGGTATTCAAAAATCGTGATTCATCGTCGATCGTGACTGTAATTGTTATATCTTCATGGAGTATGTTGTTGTTGTTGTTGTTTTTGTTTTTGCCAAGCTGTTGCTGTAAAACGGTAGACTGCGTAAGACTATGAATGTGGTTAAGATCTACGATCTTTGATATTACTCATTCAGCTTTTCCAGAAACACCCAAAAATATGTTTGTCTATACGTATGTGTTAGCCTTTCTTTTGTTTGCCTGACCAGCAGAATGTATGTATAATATATACATATATAAAGACTTTCTTAAACCGGTTCCACCATTCCTACGTTTCTTGACCAAACGAACTGTTGATACATTTCCCTCAACGTGACTCAGGATCCAGAAGTTCAGATCGAATCAAAGGCCCATAATTCATTGCCTCCAATTGGGCCGCGGCTGCAATTGCTCTCTGTGCCCAATTTGTTTATTGGATACAGACCTCCAGTCTTACACTGCTCCATTTATCTTTGGCCACTTCAAAAGTCTGGTCTTGCTTCTCCTGCTGGCCGTCAATCACTCTTCCTGACTGGAGTGGAGGAGTCTAGAGTCTAGAGGAGTCATAAAAATGTCAGCAGAAGGCGGGGTGAAAAAAGCTGGCCAAGCTGCCGCAAAAATATTTACTGGAATTCCCCGTCCGAATTCGCAATTCTAACAACTGTTGTGATAAGCCAGAAAATCAATGGATACCAGCGGTTCTTGGAAATTGTGTTCCTTAGATGGCTACCATCCACTGGCCACTTGCAGCTCCTTTTCACACCTTTCCATTATGCACATGGCACATTAATCAGACGGGGCTTATGGCCAAGTATCCAGCTATCCACCAGATACGCACACCCCCCGTGGGTGTCAAATTAAAGTTACTTTACCGCAGTTGATTATGGTGAAGTAGTGGCTCCATTACGAATAAATTACTTTGCCTGCACTGTGGGAAAAGAATTAATATTTATTTGATTTCAATAGGAAATGCCAATGCGATTAGAAATCGTTTCTAAATTTATCGTAAATATTTAAAAGCCTAACAACTCAACCCAAAGGGCTTCAGTAGAGGCGTTTAAAATAAATAAGTTTATATTCATGAATGAGATTTTTCAAATTTATGAACAGAACTTGACTTCCGTTCACTATAAAATGAGAATTATTAGATTTTAATGTAAGTTATTTTGGCGATAAAAGTTATTATCAAAGCAACCCAAATTCTTAACCTACAATTTTTCTCAATTTATAGATTAAGCTAAAAGAGTTTTAAGAACAGCTCTAGACCTCTAAACCTTTTAACTCTTTGGGCGAATTTTCGCATAAATAACCATTTGAGATAATATCTGTTTAATTGATTTTGCCGGTTACCAATAGCCATAAATAAAACCCATTCGGTGCACAATCTCCGCCAGTCTCGGCCAGCATTGAACACGTTTTCACACCACTTTGTGTGGTTTGTTTGGCATTCTATGAATGGACACCTTCGACTCTCCACATCCGCTGTTGTCTGTGTCAGAACGTAAATAATAAATGGACAACGGACAACAAATATTTTTGGCCAGGCCATCGAAGCTGTCTGCATGGAAAGGAGCTAAACGTTTAACGATGGGCTGGTTATAAATCTCCGGAAAAAAAGGCTGAACAGGCACTTGGCTTTCACCTGAGCCCTAGAATAGATCCCATTCATTAGCTCTGGAACGCCGTTAGCAAACTTTGTCCGCGTCATAAACTTCGTACTCAACGGCTTTCCAGAAATGAGTATATGCGAGTATGTATGCATATGCATAGCTGCAATCTTGCTTCCGCCGAGAATAAATAAGTTCACCCGATTATGTCCAACCAAGAAATGCATTGGGTAAACAAATAAACAAAAATTGAGAGAATGTTTCATCGATGGCAGCCTGTTTTGAGGTCACGGCGAGGCACGAAATGAGCTATATATGTATATCTATATCTATACCTATAACTATTAATCGGGCGAAACCCAAAACAAACAAATTAAACACTTGTCGGCTATTAAGTGAACGCATATAACATTTCTATTTATTTCCCCAGCAGCTGGTCAACAACTTGTTGTCGCCACGCGTTGTAGTTGTATAATTTCTGGGCAGAATGCCAGCTATTCAATTTCACTGGCAGCGGTTTTTTTTATATATTTTTTATTAGATTCGCAGTTCATGGAAAACAAAAGAAATCGCTTTTCCAAGTCTTACAGCAGTCCAGTGATTACACAACGAATAAAAGTTTCCCAAATGACTCATCTAAGTGATACTTACCTTCCTCTTTTGCCCAGGTAATTTCTCTTATATTTAATTTCACTTTCTTGGCTGGCTGTGCAAAAAAAAAGACATTTAATTAATTTCCCTACCAGTGCTAAGGTATTATTTAACCTTTTGCGTTAAAGGCAGAAATGTTAATCTCTTTCCTGGCCTTATCGTAACGCCATTTAAGAGTACTCGCAAAGATAGACCGTTGCGAAACTATCCAGCGATAAGGTCCGTGGTGATAGTCAGTATCAGTATCTGCCAGATAGTCTATCTTAGAGTATACCCGCAGCTTATAAGGGATTGCGCTATCTTGCAGCTTCTCGGGGATTTGCCACTGATTTCTTTTACCACTTCCACTCGCTGCCGTTGTGCATTTGTCTTGCAGATTAGCCCGGCCTGCTGCTATCGCTTCAAAAATGCATTAGATCTGTGTACAGTAGCTCGTATTTCAATTTCTCAGCTGGGAATTTCGTGTGGGCGTGGTTGGGGAGCAGTAGGCGGTGGGCGAGGCTGACAGCAAAAAGAGCCAACACATAAATTGCAAAACTTGCTCTCGTCTGTGGGCGGAATTCACAGCGGGTGCTGCACTTGCCCAAAAAAAGAACAAATAGCAGCAACAAAAAAATGTCAATAAAAATGCAGAAGGGGCGGGCTGCCCCTGCTGCCATTACTTGGAACATATATCAATTAATTAGAGCTCGACAAGAGGCATTAAACAAGATGTTCGTGGATTGCTCCCGCTGCTAGCTCCCCCGCAAAAGAACTGACCTCGATGTTATGGCGCCAAAACGTCTGCTTAATTAATCAAGTCCAGATCTATTAATTCTCGGAACCTTGGCTTATAAATCCGCTTGGCATTGTCATTACATTTTACTTGACCAAAATTAATTGTCTGTTTTTTCTGGAATCAAGAGTTAGTCCATTTTATAGCACAATTAGCGGTTTATTGGGTTGCGTTTCTAATCCGAAAGCTACTTAATTCAAACTAACTTCTGAACACAAAACTCAAGTATACAACAACTTTAATGAATTACAAAATCTATTCAATTAGTTGAGTTGAACAAGCTTGACTTTGGCAAACAATCTTCTAATGTAAATTATGTCACCCGAAAAACTTGGCTAAAAGTTTATTTCTTTCCTGTGAAAAAGTTGCAGTTTATATCATTTCCAACTCAAGGAAAGCCTTTCAATTCCATATAAAATACTTACCCCTGCCATTTCTTATGACATCCTTAGGCTCATTAGCGTTCCTGGTTAGCTCACGCCTA